AGTATCGTGAAGCTGCTGTGCGTAGCGCGAGCCGAAGTGAGGGCGCGTGAGCGCACAGGTTTCCAAGTGCGCTGCGCAACAAAGTGGTCGAAGGGCGGCAGCGACCGGGCAGGTGGGGAGTCGACTTGTGGACGAGAAACAGCAGGCGGGCTAAATGATGCATTTCCCCGCTTGTCCTTGTCTGAGCTGCTCGCTGTGATGACACGCAGTGGCACGTCGATGCAGTGTAGACCTTGAGCAGCAGCGATGGTTTGTTCACCATTGCGGACGAACCAGTCGACCGGTCTTTCATTGACAAGGCGAACTTTCGCCCGAGTGTCGCCCCATTCTACGCCAGGCAAAATCAGTGAGAAGCGCTCCAAAGCGCTGGGCAATAGCAAGGTCTTTAGATGACGCTGCTGCGTCGAAGCACAAGCGTGCATGCAGGCATCCATAGCTCCTGGATCAAACATCCAAGAGGAAGGCTCGCACAGCGATGCTCCAAAAGTCACATTGAGCTCACCACCCTGGCGCTGACGGAGCGCAATGCGTTGAAAGTGACCTGAAAGGTCGAATGGCGAGCCTTCGCGCAGTGCCGCATAAAAAGCCTCGTCGATGGGAGCTCGAAGAGCCGGGGCAATGTCCACCTGTTTCGCGTGTGCTTGAGCTGGCGCAACGCCAAATTTGCCTCCGATCTCTCCCGTCATCACGAGCAAAGTCGCTGTCGTTTGAGAAGGTAACCTCGCAAACAGTTTGAAGGTGCTGTGCGCTTCCACTTCTAGACGCAAGCTCACGCTCTCGAGCTCCGCGTCTGATACGGCGACAGGCCGCAAGAATTTGAGGTTGCTCAACGTCGAGGTAGAAGAGAGCCGTTCATGCCTAGAACAGCATTTGAAAACGTATTCCATCATACTTGAGACGAGGGTGGGGCGACGGTCAGCATAAGCGTGTAAAGTCGGGGCTAAATTTTAGCGCTCACAATACGATGGGAAATACGATCAGACCACAAAGACGGTGACCACGAAGGACAGCAGCACCAAATTTTCCCATAGGCGTTTCGTAAATGACCGTTCCAGCTTCAGTTTCGTGTGGCATCGTTTGGCTTGCATAGTGCGGCACGAGCAAGGTTGAAGTTGATTTCAATGAAGGGGAGGAGATGGCGTGTCGGGCGACCACTGCAGAGCCTTGAGGCAGAGATGTGGGAGGAGTAACTTCGAAGGACGGCCAGTAGCGTTGGCGACGTAGCGGAATGGGGTGCGCAAGTCCATCGGAGCGCGGTGCAGGGGAGCTCGCATGGACTGCCTTCCAATCTACGTCAACACCGGCGCCAAAAGCTTGCGCGAGGAGATTCGAAAGAGCGATGTTTCCTGTTTTATCCACTACCGCTGTGGACTCGCTCAAGAATCCACCAAAAGCAGCTGCAAAGGCGTTCACCTCGACAAAGAAGGGCGTTGCGCCATCAGCTTGCAAGGCGATGGTGTCCAGCGCAGCTGCAAAGTGCACAGCTTCGCAAGCATGTCTCGCCCAGTAGCCACCGCCCAATCGCGTACCCTTTGGGATTTGGCCACCAGTGTGATCTGAAATGAGGGAGGGAAACGTGGCCAGCTTGGAGTTTTCCGGACTCTCACACAAGAGCTCGTCCACGAACGCTTCGAGAGGCTCCGAGATGGGTTCCATTTGCGGTGAGTGGAATGCAAATCGATCGTTGACGACGCGTGTCTTGAAGCCTCGTCGGGTCAAAGCCGCCTGAAGGTCGAGAACACTTTCTGCTGGTCCGGAGAAGACCATGCTTCTTGCAGCGTTCTCAACAGCAATCACTACGCCAGGTAGGTCCAACTCCTCCAAGAGGTCCGAGGCAGCTTCGCGGTCCAGCTTGGCTGCAAGCATAGAGCCCGGCGCGTCAACGAGAGCTTCAAGAAGCTGCCCGCGCTTCTGCGCCAAACGAAGCGCTTCGTCAGCGGAGAGAAAACCTGCCATCTGCGCT